AGATTCTTCAGCACATCTCTCTCTGGTAGCCCTGACTTACAGTACTGCAGTCTATAAAAGGTGTAGTCAACCCAGCTCGGTGAACAAATACCAAATCAACATGATGAACCAACTGCAGGAACCAGGCATCATCAGAAGACAGTTATAAATTCAAATCCTTTCAGAGTCATTCAGCTGAAGCACCAGGTCTCTAACATTTATCTCTGATGCTGAAGGAGGGCAAAGACATAGGATTTCACTTCAAGGACCTTGAGTCCTGTTAGCCCTTGTCTGCTGGACTTCCTCAAAATCAAAAGGAAGTAGCATTCATCAAACCTAAGCTAGGCTTGGCTGACCATGGCCCAGCAGCAGCCATAACAGGTTCAAAGAGATTTCAGCATGACTTATTGCATATTCTCTTTAACAACCACCACTTCTCTAAAAGATGTTTTTTTTTTCTCAGGTACATTTTGCTGAAAGTCAGAAAGTCAACTTAAGGCCTGTGTCTCATGAAAGTCTTGCTCCTGCCGTCAGGATGAACACTATTATGTAGAGTTCACTATAATAAACAATTTGGTACTCCCACACCTCTGTGATTAAGTCATCACCCAAGTGTTTCGCAGCCATGATAAAAATCTAAGAATTAAAATATTTTAAAAAACAAAAACAAAACTAAAGGCGCATTATCTGATAGGCTAAGGCAATGGCGTTGCTTTCTGTTTTTAAAAGCAATGTTCAGGCAACAATTAAAATAAGCGACAATGAAACCATTACATTCACAAAACACTAGTGTTAGCCTTGCGGATATGCTTAAGGATTGGGCTGTAACCAAGGCAACCCAATCTTCTGGAGAAAGTTTAAGTAGACAGTTTTAAAGCCAGGGTTCAAAGATACAATAAAACTGGCCGTAGGGCTACTTGCGACATGTGGCAAGTGCCACAGCCACCCAACACAAAGCACTGATCTTGTGTTAACTTCATCCTGTTGTCCAAATGTTACGTTGGTTGCCACTACAGGTGCCTTCCTGCAGTTGGCATAAGGGCAACACAGGAACCATTTCACGTGTTCTGGGTAATTTGACAGAAATTTGACTTGCCCACATCCTACTCGGATCAAATCTGCATGACTGGGTGATACAGAATCAGTCTGGTATTAAGGACTGTAGACCCACGGCTTATGTCACACCATGCCACGGCTTTAAGCCTGTGCTTAAACAAACCCCAGGGGCTTAAATATTTTGCTAAATTAGAACCTGATCCCGGACCCTCCTGGGCCCTGTCTGGTCACACAAATCATGGGATCAGGCCCTATATGCCAACAAAGGCTAGACAAAGCCAAAGCAGCATAAGCAAAAACTGCAGACTTGAACAGAAAAGTCTGTGTGATCTTCCAATTCTTTCTGAAAGGAAGACTTTGGACATTACCACAGCTGATGTGAATTTTTATCGTGGCTAAGAAGTCCACCTTAAGAAAAGCAAGGTCTCTTTGGCAAAAAGACTCCTTCTTTGGAACAGATGAACCAGGATATATTATAAATATGCGATAAATATTGTGATGAAGCAATATCCCAGTGGTTCTTAATTGCAGTGTAATTGAGGTAAGTCCACCAGCACTGCCTAATTAATTCCTAAAGCATCAGAGTGGAGATTTCCATATACATGTGGATGATGAGAGCCTCTGTGATATATATACATCTATGCAGTATCTTCCAAATATATTTATAGCAATTTTAGAAGCCAAAACCACAAGCATTACAGAAAAAAAAGTGTTTTGGACCCTCACTCCTTCCAACAGGCAGATGGCTTTGGTGTTTCAGGGGTGAAAACAAAAGCATTATAGTACCTTTGCCCAGATGTGTCAGGCCTAGGAATTAGCCACAGTACCTCAAGTATCAACAGTGCTCAATCTTTGTCAAACATCCTCCATCCATGGAGTATTTAATGCTTGAAAAGTTTGGCTCTCACCTCCCTGCATGCCAGTCTAACTTACCACAGCACCCTAATAACACAGAGGATTCAGATCTAGATCTCCTAGCTGGCCTTTAGCTTGAAACGGGCTGGAATCCCAAACCTACATACCAGTAAACCTTTCTGGAAAGAGAAGACAGAACTCAAAAAAAAAAATCATTAGTTTAGGCCAATCTGTGTTTAGTTTAATTCCCATAACATCCATGGGAAGTTGGAAAGAAGCCCTCTCGTGCAGAGGGCAGAAGATGCGAAGCCATATGACTTGCTCCAAGTCCAGCCTATGGCAGTGCCATAAAAAGCCCAAAGGCTCTGGACTTCAGTCCTCCTTAGTCTAGGCCACATTCTGCAGGAAGGCACAATACCTCGTTTCCATCAATTACCCCAGTGTTATTCAGGACAGTCTCATCAGCCGCTTGATTTAACACTAATAAGAAAAAGGAAGATCAGAGCTTTGTTTGCTGCCTGATGAATGGCTTATTCTGCACCCAAGGGATCAACCCGTCCCCTGTGCTTGCAGAGACGTAAAATCCTCCACAGGGATACAATTATGTTAGCAATCCCAGCTCTGACCTCCCCTGTTTTTGTAGGGTTAGTTCAACCTGGATTTGCTTAAGAGTTGCAAGGTTTTTTTGACTGGTGGTGGTGCAGACTGCATGTAAAGAAGCGAGCTCAGGAGTACCTTACGTGCCACAGGTCAGGGAGCAGAAGCCCAGATGGAACCTGGCAGAAGTCACAGTACAAAAAAATCTGTTTATGTCCGAGGCAGTAAAATTCTTAAGGCCAGGGTAGAAGTCTAGTATAAAAAGGCAAACTACTTCAAGCACAGCCACTATGGTGGAGAATGATTTCTTTTGCTTAATGATGCCACCCTTCTACAAAGAAGGATTCATTCCGAGCTGTGAATTTTGGGAAACTTCCCTGACACTGGTGGAGTTTGCCAACATATAAACCATGTAAGGAACAGAAGTTTCAGAATGGTATTTCTGTATTTGAACTTACCATATACAGCTAGAGCTATTAAATTTCACAATGCTCTTCCATAAAGGTTAGTGCTAAACTGAAAGGAAATGCACCATTTGCAGGAGCTGCAGTGAGTATCTATTTTTCCTCTTTGTTTCCCATCAGTCTAGCTTATCTAACTTTTCTTTCCAGCATTATTAGGTATAATTATGTCAGGCTTCTGTTATAGAGAACGAAGATGAAAGCGCCACATTCTTATTGTTTTTCAGTGAGTGCATGAAAAAAATTCTTGTAACTTACTCTTGAAAAGTGCCAGTTCGTCACTTACATGGTCAATGAGCCTGGAACTGTTTCAGTTCTGCTTCTTAATTTGTTAAGTGCAAAGAAAGGTATTTTCTTTGATTACATCTGCAAATAATATATTAATGTGAATTCAGTGATATGAAAATTACTCCCTCACTATGTAATTTGCACCTTAGTTATTATGGGTTTCATGAACAAGAATATTATAGCTGCTCAGAGTGCTGTGGATTTCAAAGTGTGTTTTTTAATTAACTAAACTAAAAAAAAAACCAAAACACCAACATAAGAAAAAACAGATTATCTGTGCCCAGCTTTAATCTACATTGGCACATGTACTAATTCTGGATCGAAGATGAAAATGCTGCTGCTGGCCCAGCCCTCTTCCGCAATGACATTTCACCAGAGAGAAGTTATAAGTGGCTGCGATGAAAATGAAGGAGGGAAAAAAAAAGTGCTTACTTTTTGGAATGGCATAGAGAAAGGTTTAATAACTTCTTTAGTTTTCTTAAGATAAAAACTGAACAACAGCATGTATTTAGGAGGATCCTTCCTGCTGTTGTTGAAATAAGTTCCTTAATTTTTTTTAAATGAGAATTCCAGACCACGTGTGTTACCATCAGAGTAATGTATATCCTAAGGCCTGACTCAATCCCTGTTACAGTTGAAGGAAAATTCTCCGACTGCAATAAACAGGAGATGGAACAAGACTCTATTGCTTAAATGTCTACCCAGAAACCAACACTGCCAGTGGTCCAGTGGTCCCACTACAATGGGGTGTGTAAGAGAGTGGCATAAGATGTTTTTTGAGCATTGCTTTGTACTGCAGTTCTATGTGGTCTTTTTTTTTTTTTTAACCACTGGGATTTTAAAAATGTGTTTCCAGCCCCACATCCTTAAAAGACCTTCTCAACAGACATGATTGGCTTATACTTGTGGTAAATCAAAAGCAGTGTGTGTGTGTGTGTGTAGTGTGTGTGTGTGTGTGTGTGTAGTGTATAGTGTGTGCAAGCTCACATATTTCTGTGATTGCTCATACATTGTGAATTGGAAGCATCACTACTGGATAAATTTATGCAATAGCAAAATATAACTTCATAAGAAAAAGGAAAAACCCTATTGAACTGGAAGGGAATGGAGACAAGTAAGGGCCTAAGAAAAAAAAGATATAGATAACAAATCTGTGTCCCAAGGATACAAGGTCACACCTACACTCTTAGGCGCAGCACAGTTGAAATTGCATTGTTTGTGTTGTCATGAGAGGCGTGCTGGGTCTGCTCTGACACCTTCTAGGGCAGCAGAGCTTCTGCTGCTGGTGATGCAGATCCTATTAAAGTTAAAGGGAAGCTGCCCATGACCTCAATGAGAGTCAGTCAGGTTCTCAAATTAACTTGGGAGAAAGAACTAGCCCAGCCATCTTTCACCTTGTACCTTCATGTACTTTTTAAGAGACAGGAATCAAACACAGAAAAATAGTTAAGGCCATGTTCAGATGTCCTTCTACAGGCAGATAACGTAGGTGCTGTGACCACTTTTCTCCATCAGCTGCAGAGACAGCAGGTGGTCTGAACTCACTCGCTGCCCTCCTGAAAAGTCATGTCCAAATTAGGTGCCTGTCATGGGCAGTCTGAACATGGCCTCTCAGACTGCCCTCTTGTTCCAAGTCCTTCCAGTTTTACTTTTTTATCTTTTTTTTTTTAAAAAAACAGATTCAGACCCTAAGCTGGAAAGAAATCATGCAAAGCTTGTGCAATATCCCCAAACAGGCATCCTGGGGAGGGTCACAGTTGATACTCAGAGATCAGTGCTGGCCTTGGCAGTCAGAGCCTGGATCCGAGCAGAGTTGCAGGTCTTGCAAAGGATGTGCCCGTCCAGAGGGTAACAGCCCTGATTGTCCCCTTCAGACAGGAGGCCACCACAGTCCTAGGAAATGAGCAGACAGAAAGAGCAAAGTAAATAAGAAAGAACAAGATTAAGCGAAGAATCTATTAGTCAAAGAAACTCTCTTCTCACTCTCCACCTTGTAACAGGATCCAGCCTGAGTCAGCGTAAAGCATGAAGCTGAGGTACGTGATGTCTTTCACGATTAAGCCATTTCCTGATAAGAGACAATGCTGCAGAGAAGATGGGTTCCCAAGCTCTCTGCTGAATTTAATCCAATTGAAAATAAAAGGAGATTATTCTCTTCACATTTCTGAGGAAGGAAAGGTCTTTAGCACTGGAGAAAACATCAAACTTAAGCACATATTTATTAATGCAAGAAAGGATAAAAAAAAGCATCACTGAGAAGGAAGTTTGGTACCAATATCTGACTACAAGTAATCTCCTTTGGAAGAGTTAATGCCACAAAGCTATAGCATCCATTCCAGGGGTGACAGCTAAGCGAACTCCCTCCCTGTCTCCCCTTACCAGAATTGTCACCTGTGTGTGTACTGCAATTGGGCCAAAAGGCTGTGGCCAAAAGGAGGATGTCACTGAGACAGGCACATGGAAACTCCACTAAAAGGCCCAAAACCTGCTCCAGAGACCTCAGCCTCTAAGTATATAAGGCTAAGTATATACTGATCACTGTGTGATCAGGCAATCACTTGGCCCAAAACTGCTGTCAGAGCTGCAGTGAGGGGATTACAACTGGCTTAGAGGCCATGCCTCTTCACCATAAATCTGTGTTTGTAAATACACCTGGCAAGCAAGTGGTGGAAAGAGGAATATCATCGTTGTTCCTTTTAAGATCGCTAAGGCACATTGAGATCAAGGCCAAGTGAGTGCCTGTGCCCTGTGCTCTCCACTGCACCTACTTCTGACTGCATCTGTGCGAAGCCTAGGTATCTCAACAGACAGCATGGGGACATGCTGTATGACAAATCAGGCTCTACAAAATTTAGTGTAGGAATGCCCCAACATCTTTAAAAAAAATGGGCCTAAGTAATGGGCTGATATGTTCATCCTTCTTTCTGGTTAAAGTTATTAAACCCTGCAACTGTGATAGGAAATACATTTGGTCTCATTTTCTTACCCTGCCATCTGGCTGATGTATTATCCAACAAGTAACACTTGCATGGAAGAATTCTTGAAGGTTCCCTAACACAGCTGTTCGCACATGTTAATTGCTTTAAGGTGATTTTTCTTCTCTGTTTTCAGATTCTTACCATCAAAATTATATGAAGTGCATAATGAAACTGAACAGGAAAGTAGCACAAAAAGCATTGCACGAAACAAGAATGATCATGTTTATGTGTCCATTAAAATTCTTCAACACAGAGCCATATGTTGAGTTTCCTGTACAATCTTGCTCAAATTCTAACGTGCATTAGCTTTCATTTTAAGAACAAACATGACCAACGTTTGTGTCCAAGCTATAATTTATGAAGTTCTCAAATATTAAGCCCTAATTACCTGAGTCACATTCTCTTGCTCTCCTAATGAACCTGTTATAAACAAGGGACCTGATTTTCTTCTCATTTGCACTGATATAAATGAGGAAAAATTCCTGGCATGCTGAAGCCAATGAAGTAATTTGATCACAGATCCAGTGTTACAATAGGGCACGCCTGTCGTGTGTATAACATGAAGCAGTGATGAAATTAAGCCAACCTTTGGTTTCTGTCCTTTGTGTGATTAGAATACCAACCTCACATCGGTAGCACTGCACGTGGAAGTCACGATCCAAGGCAACAATGCGTACAGTCTCCTCTTGTCCTGGGGCCGGCATGATGGGCTCCTTACACACTGAACATCTTGGTGCAAATTTCCTGAAGGAGGAAGAGACAGTCCCAGTCATCCTCAAACTCAGAGCAAAAGGTTTTGTTAACTGCACCACTAAGGCAGAAATGTGTGCATTTGTACAAAGACACACACGTATGTAGTCATATGTCACAGTTTGTAGCTTTGCACAGCTGTCTCCTTGGAAAGGAGACAGGAAAAGCACTTTAGTCTTACAATGCAATTTCAGGCTTTCAGGATATTAAAGAGCATTTTGCAGGCTATTAGGAGAGGACTTCAAGAATACCTGACAGGCAGCAAAGCAGATTCTGCTTGCCCTAATTAACAACTAAAGCACCTGTTGAATGATCCACGATTGTGACACCTGGTTGCACCGGTTGCACTGCTGCAACCCTCAGGCTCAAATCCCAGCCTAACTCTAAGAAAGTTCATGCAAATCCTAAGGTTAGAAAGATGACCAGGATGTGCTTCAAGAGCATCTCTTCAAAAAATATCAAAACATTAACATTTGAAGATTGGAACCAATAGGTAAAAAGTCTTAATAGAGTAAAAAGATTTGCCTTAAAACTCGAATTAGTGTAATTTATCCCATCCGTTTTAAACTTCTGAGCCGTGTTACCCGCTTATGCACACAGGAGCACATTCCTGGCTGTGCTCACTCTCAAACAAGGAGCATCAGGGCAATTCTGACTAGCTGTGTTTTCTAGCTAAAACCAGCTCTGTCAGCCATTAGTGGGTTGCCCAGGCTTAAAAGGGGACAGGTCTGGGTGCAGAGACATCAATGGTCTCTCTTCCACAGTTTGAGTCAGAGCTGTGTATAGTGGCAATCACTCACTGTGTGAAGGGACTGGCTTGAATCAGGGTCAGCTCAGGATCAAGAGGAGCACAGACCTTTCTTTTTTCCCTTACGTTGCCCGCCGTATGTCCTTCTGGCTAATTCACATATGTTCTGTATTAGCTCTGGTTTTGCTCCCTGCAACTGCCCATGAGAAGTGGCCATCTCTGCTCCGAGGCAGGTGAGGACGCTTGAGAACATATAGCCTGTGGGCACTGATTTTCTGGCTGCAAATTCTGCTCACAAAAAAAAGAAACTCATACTTAAAGAATATGCTGCCATGTAATAAGAGCCAGGGTCACAAGCTATGGAGTGACATAGGGCAATGCTTATGGCAAACATCAGAACACGAGGAGATCAAAGGCCCTTCTCTTCTGAAATGCCTAGGAAAGATTGACTCTGCCACCCAGCCTGTCACATGAACCACCTCAGAATTAACTAGCTTAGAAAAGAAAAAAAAAAATAATTTATCCGTACTAGGAATAAAGAAAAATATTAATTTCACTGGCAGCAGATGAAAGACGTCTGTGTAGCTGCGATCTAACAAAAAAATGAATTAAACAGTGGCTATAGCAAGCGCTCTGAAAAATAAACGATCATGATATGACCGGAGCTGTAATCGTAGTTAATTATATGCTGCTTCATGCAAGCGCTCACTTGTGCCATTTAGCTCAAATGTGGTGCTTAAAAATACTTCAACATTTCTCTGTCCAGGCCACTGCGGGTAATTCATTATGAGCCAAATATTAACTCCCAGGACCCACAGATGACTCTGCAGATTTCAAGGGATGTGTATGTGCTACTGCAGGGCCTAAGCTCTGGTGGTAGCTAAGTGACAGCGTGAGCATCAGGTACAGTTTTGTTATCGAGACAATGTACAAGATGTAGAGCACTCGACCTCCAGACCAGGAGAACATGTCATCCCTAATCAATTAGAACTGGGCTGGCTGCTAAACACGTGGATGGCCACAGACATTCCGAGTGTCACATTAGGTCTCGTGCTATTCCCATCATCTTCCCCTCAATCTTTGACGCAACAACTTTGCATCCTTTCCTTAGATCGACAGCCTCCCACTTCCCCCTCCGAGCCCTAAGGTCCACATCCAGTCACTGCCGACAGACTTCAACATGGGGCATCAGCTCTTGCTCTCAACCTTTCTCCCAAAGGCATGTGAGCCCTTGGCCTGTGGGACCTGGGGAAGGAGCAGTTTCCAAATTGTAAGTGGGTGTGAGGGAAGCCTCCTGACAGAGCCCAAGTGGTGTGTAAGCCTTGTATTGGGCCTGTGCTCAGGACCAAATTCTACCTTACACAGAACTGCTGGCACAGAAAAGCAAGGCAACACAGCAGCTGCCAATTAACCCAGCCTATCTGAGCTACAGGGAACATCCTCATGTTGGATTTTAACATGCCAGTTGATTGTGGCTGCTTCCCTTTCTGTCAAGTCAGCCTGCTTCTTTGAGCTTTCAAGCCCACACACTGATGTCACGAGGCTCTAATTAAGTCTACCCCCTTAGAAATTAAGAGATAAATGGTTGAGATGTAAACTCACATTTGTCAGTATTGATTTCCTCTTTTAATTGAGGGGTGTAATGTGTCTGTCTTTTCCATACAGGGGAAACATTTGTGCTCTGATTATATCTACCTGTCTTCCCTAGATTAGTTGTGATGATGGGGGTGGTAGCATGGTAGTGACAGAAACTGCTTGCAACTATACCTTTCAACTTACTTTAAATAGCAGTTTCACTATAAATTATTACCAGAGCTGTATTTTTAGCAGCTTAAAGCAGCTAATTAGCAACTAGAAACAAAAGGAGCTGTGAACATCCTGTGGCCACCTAGATCCCTCTAGCCAGTAAGCAAACACCTGCAGAGTGCAACAGTACAGGACCTCTCTTAATTGCTCAGTGAGAGAAGGGGGGAGATGCTGATGTGGAAGCACAGGTACAGGCAGTGAGGAGAAACACACACATGCTGAGTGCAGGGGAAGGCGGGCGGAATGCAGAGCATTTAAAATGGAGAAACACAGAGGTTATCCATAAATTCAGATCTAAGCAAAATGGAGATCAAGCAGCATTGGCCCCTAACTAATTAATCTTGTATGCCATGGTGTGCCTGCTTAGAGCAAAGCTCTGCCTACTATTTAAGAGCTTTGGGAGGAAGTGGCAGAGGGTTCAGATCTTTTTGGGCACTCAGACTAAAAAAAAGGAGGATTGTTATGGACAAAAGAGACCATAAGCAAAGCCACTGACAGCAGCTTAGGCCATACTTATGGAAATCCTCGATGCAGTGGATGTTCCCACCAGCATCCACGGTGAAGGGGATCCCATCCAGGCTGCGATGGCACATCACACAGGTGAAGCAGTGAGGATGGTAGGCCTTCCCGGTGGCTCGGAGGATCCTTTCCATGATGGGCTTTGCGCAGACACTGCATTGCTCCAGTGTGTTCTGCAAACAAAATATACACAACAGATGTGAGCACCACCTCAGCAGGACATTGACAAAGGTCAGCTGGGTTGGAGGCTGCTGCTGGTCTACATGGAAGTTTTAAGTACTTTCATTTCTTCTAGATAAGTGCAGTACAGTCAAAGAGTACAACGGCACAGGGCCTGCGTCAAGCCTTTAGTATAGCGCAAGAACACAAACCAGAGCCTTCTCTCAGCAGCTCTGATACACCCACCTGATGGGCCACCTCTGATCGTTTATCTGAGACACTGCAGCTTCTGCAGCCTGCACTCCCGCACACGATGGAGTTAGGCAGCCTGCACTCCTCAGTTTTTGCCCCTACACTGGCCAGTCTGAATGACCTTTTGCAGCTGAGTTTATTAGAGACAACCTCCAGAGCAGGCAGTGCAAAGCTGAAGTGCAAACTCCTGGGGCTACACAGAGATCCCCTAACTGCTCTGCCAATACAGCTCCCATAAAGGATATTTATCTGCCTTGTAAGAAAATCTTGATCTTCCTCTCCCACCATGGAGACTGCTGTCGAGTCTGGGGAGAGAACAAAGAAGTGTTTGCAATGAAAGCATCGCGAGCACAGGAGTTCAGGATGACTTAAACTGTTCATTTACCTCTGGCCCTCGATGCTTGAGATAATGACTGTGAAATACCAGCTGTAAGGCCATGATCCTTCCTGCACAGGTTTTACATACTGGCCTGCTCCTGAAGCACTAGAGCCAAAAGAACTCCCCACCTTTCAAGTGGGGTCCATTGAATGATTCATCTCATTTCAACCCTCACTCACCCTTGCAGTTAATTATAGAAATACAAAGATAATTTTGCTTCAGATGGCTGTCTGTGAGCCACACCAGCCCTTCTGACACCACCTATGCAACTTATCCTTTCAAAGCAAGCACCTTAAAGACACATGCCACAAATGGAGGGTGCAACCCACCTAGATGCAAATAATGAATCTGTGGCAGTGATTTGGGTCAGTTCACTGGACTTCAAGGAAAGCAAACTTCACCTACTACTCTTACTTGATGCATCTGGAATTATCAAATAATGTTATCAACCAGCATTTGAAACGTAGATGAGGTAGAAAGTCTATGATTACAAAATTCATTCTCATTAAGATAGACAGAAAAAAGGAGGGACAAAAAAAAAGGAAAACAAAAAAATCTAATGGGACAGAAATATAAAAAGTTGCTGGAAGGCAGATCATGTTGACAAACAGAGGAAGATTAAAGTTCTTCTGCTTCCTCATATAACAAAATTCCCAGGGAAAGTAGTGCTTTGACTGACCACATTGTTATTGCTTCTTTGAGCCAATGCTCTTAGGGGCAACATCCAGCCCTTACATGTGCAGCCAAAATATATTGTCAGGAGATGAATCACCCAGGAGCTCAGAGAGGTTACTTCTACACTCCATATTTGCTATCGGACTTTATCTCTGGGCTGCAAATCACTGGAGAGATACAAACACAGAAATACACAGGTCTGTATCAGAAGAGCAAAAGGATTGTTTTTGGAAAAGCTGATATGAAAAGTCCTGAATTTCAACCCATATGAGAACCGCCTCATACATTTGTAAAGAGAGCACAGCCAGGCTAGTGTTGGTTTCAGACTGGATTTTGCTTTACGCCTTGTAATAATAGGCAGGAAAGAATTATTGCTGGCCTTTCTGTCTGGTTGCTGTCACCATCATCATCGTTATAACAGTTGCTGGTATGCCAGAAAAAGCAAGGTCAATAATTTTCTCCTTGGAGAAATAACCTGGCAAATTTACCATTTTGCTTTGCATAAGCAGATCACATCATCTCAGTCTGCATCCATGCAGTTCTCTATATTACCAAGAAAGGAATGCAGCATACCTGCAGATACTGACAGAAGATTGTGCCACTCGTAAGGCATTTGCTATGACACCTTCTAAATATGCACAGGTATGGAGCGTTTGCCTCACCAAGTCACTGCTTGCTTCATTTCCAACAGTTGCCAACAACAGAGGCCAAAGTATGAGAACAGGGCAAGCAAAACACAGCAATTCCTTAGGATACGCTTCCAGCCTCCAGAGATTTCTGGCTTAGGGACTTTCTGAGCCAGAGCCTGGCTTCTCCGTACTTAGCCTCAAGTGAATGTTTCTCTCATGAACTTTCCTGATCGCTTTTTGAATTCTGGTAAACATTGAGCACCCACAACATGGCCGGGAGTTTCACAGCTTACCTACCTATTGGGGGCTGATCTGCTAAGCAGTTCCCCAGGTTTGCTACTGCAGCCGACATAACAGCGCTCCAGACAGCAACACTGAGCCCAGCCTACCTGGTACTGAGAACAGGGCAGAAACCTGCAGCTGCAATCCACCCTGCAAAGCGATTTAACACCAAGCAGCGTGGCCTAGAAATGCTCTCACTATGGATCTGATACAACTCCTACTCACATGTTTCAGACACACAGGGTTTAAGACCACAAGGGATCATTACAATCATCTTGTCTGACAGCTCTCATTAACGCTGACTTTGGTGGGTGTTTCGCAGTGACCAGGACAGCAGGTAATCATGCTTCTGGATTATGCCTTCAGAAAACACACATCTTCTGCTCCCAAATTTCAGCGCAGTCACACTGTGTGACATTCTTGCAGCTAAGCAAGACAAGCATTTTAAATTAACCAACTCCTGATTAAGCCTTCTATACAACCTGAAAATCAGACCCGAGAAATTTATTCTTTTCATCCCTCCAAGTCTGTACCAGTGAGGAAAAACAAAGTCATTACTTTCAGACTCCAGCTCACTCCCTGTCTGGGAGTGTATTTGCTTAAGCTTCTTTTCTTGCTAGAACCCTGGCTCAGACCCTTCTCTTCAAGGTGTTACCAGAAGATGCCAAAGGGAAAGCTTCCTTGATTCACACCCATTTGACATCACGTTGCTGTAAGGCAGGATTTGGCCTGTGGAGCTAACAGGGTTTTCTTTGATTCTCTAATCAGGTTATCCCACATGCTTAAGTGCTGCCCCAGCAGCTAACAACCTGCACAAAGGTATTTCTGCACATTATGGGAATAACATCCCTGTAGGATTATAAGTTTGGCTTCTTGATTTTGCTCTTCCACAGTTTAGCTACCTCTCCTAGCACCTCCTGGAGCTTCCAGACCTTCAGAAAGCCAAGCAAGATGGCAGGGGGGAATATCTAACAGCCCTATTTTTCTTTTCTCCCAAGCTGCCATTGCCAGCCCTCAGTGTAATCAACAGGTAGAGCTGATTGCATCTGATACACAGAGGACCAAAGCAAGGCATACAGAAGAAAGATAAAGATCAGCTAGGAAACATCAGACCTAGGAGCTGTGGTCAAATTCATGTCATAAGAATAAGGACCACAAATCCAGCATGGGCTGAGAAGAAAGTTTACCATCCTTTTCCCATATTTTTGGCTAAGAGGCAGGGAGCGCCTTTCTTTTTTAGAGACACTTGTGTCTCCAAATCCAACTAATTTGGGGGTTTGAAAAGGATGGGGAACCATTCATTTGTAAATGGAAGGTTGACCCAATGTTAAAGGCTGACTCTGGGTCCACATCTCTTGAGGGCAGATCTGCTCATGCATGGCAAAGAAGAATCTCACCTGGGGCGAATAATGCCCCCTGATATACCACTGAAGAAAAAATAACTCCAAGCAAAGAACTGAAATGATCAGGACATCAAACATCAGCTTGCAAGTAAAAACGAAGAGACTTAAACGAGTACAGCACAATCAGCATCAAAAAAACCCAACAAGCTCCTTGGGAACAAGTATCTGATAGCAAGTGGTGGTGGGAGCTGTTTGAGGGCTTCCCTATAGCAATACCTGTCTCTTCAGAAACCACAGAAAACCAAAGGCAGTTGCTCTGCAGATGTGTGGTTTAAACACAGGACAAAAAGGGAAAATCCAAACTTCTGGAAAAGACTTCTGGGGTGCAAGAGCCACTGAAGACTGGAAGTAGGAAGTGTTTGAATCCCCTCCTGAAGACTTCATAGCCCAGATGGAAAGCTAGCAAATGGCTTCAGGGAGCAGAGCTGCAGGGCTGTGGGCTACAGCTCATCCTGCTTCCCTAATACTGTAGATTATAACCTTATAACCAAATTCTGGGTGACAACAGCAGCTCACACTATAGGGCAGCACAAGGACCCTGCCACAACGACCTAGCAATGAACACAGAAGAAAAGCCACATAGAGATAGTCATTGCTTCTTCTGTGTTGGCAATTCATCTGGAGCTGTAATGAACATAAATAATCTCTCCTGCACTCTGAACAGCAGACCGAGGAGAGCTCACACACAGGGACATGAGCATGGTATACCTTAATTTGCTGGGAGAGGGGAGGGAAGTTGCTGCAATAAATTGGCAACTCATACACAAGGACATGAACTCACTTTCTGTGAGCACTGCAGAAGAAACACATTTTTTGGAGTGACTGCACAGCAGAGATGGTATTAGCTGTGGGAATCAAAAGTGACTGTTGTGCTAAAAACAGGCACGTGGTCAACTACTGTAGTTGAACTGTAACTTAGTAAAGTGCGGTAAGTGAATTGCTTTAAATCTTGTGACTCCATTCTTCATTTCCTCAGACTGCAAGGAGAGTAGAGCAGGAGACATTTTCCCTGTTGTGGGATAGTTTCTGAGGCTTGAAAATGTTTCCATACTTAAGTGAAGACAGAACACTTTAATCTCAAGAAGTCTGGTGAATTTATAAACCCCAAATTAGATCAGGTCAATTGAAACACTGCACTTCAAATAATTTCAAATGGTTTCATTTAGGTTTTGGGTCTGAAAATATATAGTTGGATTATAAATTAAATATAAAGCAGATATTGGTGGAGGGGTTAAGTATCAAGATGTAACTTCAACACTTTCAAAACCTTTTTTTTGGCATTATTTCTAGAAAAGGAAAAACAGAAAATCCCAATTCCCACCCCCCGCCCCCCCTTCCCAAATCCCCAGCCATCCCAATTGTTATCTCCACAGATGGGTAAATCTTGGCAAATA